CACTGACTTCCAAGAACATGATTGTTTGTGTGGGGCCAATCTGTATGCAGCCTGGGAGCTGCGTACGTGGCAAGCAAGGAGGTTGGAAAGGGAGAACGGCTGGGTGTGAAGGACTTGGGGTGCACGTTAGTAGTGTCAGATTCTATTACTGAGAATTCTCTTTTAGGGTGCAAATATATCTCTAGAAATTGGGCTCCTTTAAGTTGAGTAAGCTTAAAGAAAACTAAATTGTGACAAAGATATCAATTATCAAGATAAAACATAATAGATGCATAACTACATATTGTTTCAGAGGCTCAGATGTACTCTAACATTACTGAAGGCCCTCCCATGGTGATTATAAAAATTAATCTCTTACCTACTTTTAAGTTTGAAAAATAAACTTAGAATTAAAAAGTCACTGACATTAGCAGTGAGGGTTGATGTCAGATCCTCAAAGGACTATTCTGTCAGTTCTGTGAGCTGACTTCTATGTGCTTTGACATCTTAGGAAATTCTGAAGACTATTCTTTGACACTAGAGTGCTCTCACCACAGCTGAAATTCAGCAGGAGTGACTGGATATGGAAGGAAACACACACACACACACACACACACACACACACACACACACACACACACACACACACACACACACACCTGATTTATGGAAGCTTTAAGATTCAAAATAGAGTCATTTTCTGATATGTCAAGCAGTTTTGATCAAATGATTAGAAAACATTAAGTTGCTTTACCTATCAGTAAAAGGATTATGCACAGTATAAACCCAAAATGTTTCTTTAGAAAAGAATATTTTGTTATCCCAACACTTAAGAGGTTGAGTCAGGAGGATTGCCATGAATTTGAAGCCAGCATGGGCTTCATACTGAGGCCAGGCCAGCCTTGGTTACCCTGTCTCCAGAAAGAAATAAAAATTTAAAGTGCAAATGCCTTAGATGGAGTTCCCCTGGAATGTTGAAGAAAGAATACCAATGCACCTGGAGTCCATTGGGCAGTAAAATAGAGATGCAGGACAACACAGTAGGTGGTTTGGGAACCATTGGGATCTTTGAGTTAAGGGAGTGAAGTATTGTGGTTATTTTTTTTTTTTACTACATGCATATGCACCCCAGTGTACATGTGGAGGGTTGGGGGACAACTTTCAGGAGTCATTTCTCTCATTCTACCATGTGTGGGTCCCAGGAGTCAAATTCAGTTCATCAGGCTCGGCACCAAGAGGCATCTCATGGACCCCCGAGGCTGGCCTTTAAAGGGGTTACAAGTTACTTTGTTACAAATAGATTTGGGGGAGGTGAAAGGACAGAAGCAGAGAAATTGCTGGGGAAGACTCTCCAATCATCCAAGTGAGAGTTCTTGGTGTCCTCAAACAAAGTAAGAGTTCATGGTGGCAAAGCTAGAGTGAGAACATGACTCCAGTAGCTGTGGAGGGTGTTTAAAATGTTTCCTGAGGTGAGCAGCCAGAGTCAATGTTTGAATCTGTAGCAGAGCATCAAGGATGACACAGATAGGTGGGGACTTCGTGGGCAGGTTCTCAAGCAGGAGGAGGGACCAGGTGCTGCCAGGCCTGTAGCTCATGGAACTCATTAGTGACCAGGGCTTCATGAATGAGAGAAAGCTCTGAGAGATTCGGAAAGAGTGGAGGCCTGGTCTTGGGTGCAGAGACGGTAGAAGAATGGCAGTTCTTGAGCCACCTGACTGGCAGGTGGTGATTTACATGTGCAACAGTTTAGAGGGAGAAGGATTCAGGATTGTGGCCATGACAGTGACAGTGGGGTGAAAAGCTCAAGTGTTTGGGGAAGGTCCTCAATAAGAGCTCTCCCGGGCTGGAGAGATGGCTCAGCGGTTAAGAGCAGTGACTGTTCTTCCAGAGGTCCTGAGTTCAATTTCCAGTAACCACATGGTGGCTCATAACCATCTGTAATGAGATCTGGTGCCCTCTTATGGCCTGTAGGCATATATGCAGGCAGGACACTGTATACATAATAAATAAAATCTTAAAAAAAAAATCTTGTGTCCTTCTCACAACCTAAGAGACAAGTATTATCAAAAAAAAAAAAAAAATAGAGCTCTCCCAACTGAAGTCACCTTAGCAAGGAACATAGCTAAGTCCTTGATGAGCACAGCATAGTGACCCATAGATGAGGGACACTGAGAACAAGAGACAGAAAGCCAAGTGGGACCAATATGAACCCAGGAGTGTTATCTCCATGAAACACAGGTGTGAGGACAGAGGCGGGCAATTCTCAAACCCTTCCACACCTGCTGGGCAGTCAGAGGGAGTTGGCAAAGGAAATGCGATCTTTGAGCTAGAACCAGGGATAGTTTTATTTCAGTGGATAAGAAGAAAACGTTATCTTTATCATAGCTTTATGAAAACTGTATGCTCACTTTCTGCCAGGATGGTTGGAGTAAGGGTTTTCAGAGAATCACAACAGACAGTTGTACTGGCTGGGTAGTATTTAATATGATCAGGTCTTAAATAGGAAGCCATGAACACAAACATTCAAAACCAAATACATAATAAATAATCATTAAGTTATAAAGTACATCATTCATATTAAGACTAAATTCTCAGGTGTAACTGTAAATAAAACAGAGCAAAAATGTAGATCAATAATGCTTTGAATTTATTCATGAGTACAAAGAAGACACTTTTTCAGCTAAAATATTAGCTGTCATAACTAATTCTCTCTGATCTCTCATGACCTACATGACCGTCTTTCCTCCTTTCTTCCTTTCTTCCTTCCTGCCTTCCTTCCCTCTTCCCTTCCTTCTTTCCTTATTGAGCAACTGAATATCACATTTGGGATGAAATTTAACTCAGAAGTGTGGTCAGGTGTTCCTGTAAGAGTACCCAGGACATTAAAACTCAGACATACAAATGTCAGAAAACAAAAAATACAGAATAGACTTAGGAAAGCCCAGCACCCCTGTTCTACATATAAGGAAATGAAAACCAAAACAACTTAAGCAAGTGGCCACACTTCACAGCCAACAGTATGTCAGGTCTACTGTGTTATCACCCACAGGTGAGCAATGATGTCCACAGGTTTTCTTCATATTCTCTCAAGGGTTAGATGAATCTTAAACATGGGAAAGTGAAGGTATTGCCATGCAGGACTTACTTTGTCTAATTTATTCAAGACACCACTTTCCTTGGCTAGTGATAGACCCTTTACTGGAGTTTTCAAACTATTCAAGCTCTTAGCCTGGGTACCACTGAATTATTTTTACTTCTAGAGTAGAAATGCTCAATGATCTAAAAGGCTAGAACAAATTATTAAACAATAAACACACCAAAATAAATATATTTTCTTAAATATAAAACCACAGTGTCAAGAAGTCAACAGTTATAAAGCCAGAAGCAACAACAACAAAATACAACATGTAGATCCCATCTCTCTCCATCATTTCTTTCTGAAGGATTGCATCTTTGCTTCAGCTTTCCACCCTCAAACTCAACAACTAGCTAGCACCATTTGATACTTCGGTGGGCTATATGCATATAATGTCATCAAGAGTTGCACATTTACATAGTATCTTTACAAAAATAAACTTTAAACTTCTAAGAGAGTACATTGTTTCTGATTATGGCACTTTTCTGGGAAATAATCAGCTGTATATTAGAGCTGTACATTATGTCTGTATTTGTTTTAAACACACTTTTAAATATAGACATTTGTTCCTTGGAGCAAAGCCCCACCACCCTCCACCCTGGTGCATGCTCTTGGGCTCTCAGGTTCATTTTAGCAATAAGAAATTTTCCAAGAGATCATACTATTCCAGGGAAAATAGCTTTCTAGACTTTAACCTCACATTGAATGGACTGTTGGAATTCATATCAAATGGCAGAACCATTTGTTTATTTCTACCATCTGTGGTTTAAAAGATTGGAATATTAAGTAAGATTCTGTTTAAACTGGGACAGAACTTCTGGCCTCTTGGTTTATCTCCTGGTTTTGATTTTAAAATAGATGGTTGAATTTAACTTTTCATGTGTTCACTCAATGTGCCTTAAATACTCAACAGTTTAAAATGTCTTATGTCTCAGAAGTCTCATTTAACAAAGAGGAAAGAACAGATGTGGTGAAGGAGACTAATGACTGGAGTTAGAAGACTGATCACAATACATCCACACCATTTGAGATGAGAGCTACAAACCCTTAAAACTCCATTTGCTCCAGAAGACTCTGCTGATGTCCGCCCTACCATAGGTCTTAGTTGCCATCGTCACAAGTTTAAAATATTAGCTTATAAAAGGACTTGACATTGGGGGAAGGCAAGTTAATCCTACTTCCTAATACACCATTACCACTTTAGAGAGACAGTGAAGACCAGGAGTGAGGTCCATAAATAGGTTAAATTCTACTGTGTTTAAATATTTTGATAGAACTAATAAAGAAGAAAAATTGCTCATACCCATCTAGGAACACTCTCCCCTAGAGCATAAATAGAGTAGATAGCTGTATGCTGAATGTTCATTTGGAAGGAGTAAGCCCTTGAGACATGCTTTCTGTCCCAAGTTTTCCTTAAAGAATAAAGACTTCAATTTCCAATTTCATCTCCCGCTTCTGTATTTTCAGCTTACATCATTCAGTTGGGATCACAAAGGGTCTTACTCTTGCAGACCAACAAATTCTCTAGCTGTATTTTTAGTTAAAATCTTTAGTTTTCCCCTTCCAATCAAAGCATGTCCCAGTTGGGCAATAAGACGAAGAAACCACAACTTGAGAAGTCACAGAAATCCATGACATGGGAAACTGAGCTCTCTGAGAAGAGATTTTCCGTGTCGGCAGCATGGAGTCTGTCAGTGAACTGCAAGATCTGCGTAGTAATTTGGCAAAGGATCTTAGCCTGCAGCTTTTATGAGTTGTTCCTATGGTAATATATTGTGCTTCTCCACTCACAATCCCAGGAAGCAAGGTGCACTCCTGCGTTTGTGAGTGTCTATAGTGTCCAGTGTCTCCTCGGGCCCTTGGAAATCTTCAGGTCCTGTGTGTCCTATGAAAGATGCTGATGAATCATCTGTGGAAACAATGGGCCATTAGCCACTGAGCATAACAAACAACATGGAGACTACAAGGAAGCAGAGAAATAAACACATGTAAGGCACATACCTTTTGGAGGAACCATTTTAGTCTTTCTAGGAATTCTGTGGGTGTTTTTTTCTCATAAGAATCACAGGAAGGGCATTTCTGGACATCAAAATAAGCAAATAAAAGGTTACATTCTCTAAAAAATTGTCTATGTCATAAAATACTTATGTAAATGTATTTCTTCTTCTGAAAACATAAGTCAGGTTCAGTAACCAACATGAGGAAAAATTTATAAAATTGTTCTAGAATTCATTTGTGATTTCACTCTCAGAGACAACGGTAATGTTTTGGTGTTTAAAATATGATATCCTTTTTGCTCCTTTTATTCTGTTTTACTTTGAATTCTTGTTGCACTGGTTGATACATACTGTTTGCTGTTATTTTATTTATTATTTTAGCTAATTACAAGTATTTCCTAGGCATTAGATATGCTTTCAGTACAGGATATATGGCAGTCACTTTGTTTTCCAACACGGAATGGTGTTCTCATTATTTTTGGATATGGAAGTGGATACAGAAGCTTTCCTCTCTTACGTACAATTCTACAAAGAATATCTCTACTGATAATATTTCATATGTATCTCTGTTTGATCTGATAAATTCCCAGAAGTTCATAAAGTAGAACGGATGTTTGAGTGGTGCTTGCTTTCTTCCTTCCTTCTCGACATTCCCCCAAACATGCCCCTTTCTCCTTCAGTTTCATGCTTATTCCTCTTGTGATATCAAAACACCAGGCCATGACTGGTTGCTCAGTCACATGTTATTGCAGTGAGGACATCCGGTGGAAACACAGTACCTATGTTCTTCTTGATACAGATGTGAAACCTGGAGAAAGCCGGCCCTTTTAGATCTCACTTTCCTCGCCCATAAATGAAGGCATTTAACCCAGAGTGTTGGGTTCCAGGTCTACACCACACACCATTTCCTAAGTCCCTGCCCTGAGTTTCATAACTGTGTTCAGTTCTTCACTTTCTTTCCCCTTTCTCCCTCCCTCCTCATCTTCATTTCTCCTTCTTCCTGTCTTTGCATTCTTCCTTTTTTCTCTTTTCCTTCCTTTCTACCTTCCCTCCTTCTCTTCTCTCTTTTATTCCCTTTCTTCCAGCTTCTTGAACAGGGTCTCACTTTCATAGCCCAGGCTGTCCTGGAACTCTCAATCCTCTTACCTCAGTCTCCTGGGTGCTGGGCTCACAGGCATGCACTACCATCTCAGGCAGTTCCTTTCTTTGTAAAGAAAGTTTCAGAGGGACATTTTCTCATAGTAATAACCTGGTGGAACACTCAAAAGAAACCAGGCTCCTTTTCATAATATAATTATTATTTCACTATTTTCAGCCCATGTGGAATTTCTTGAAGGACAGAAGACTGGTAAACCAAACAGAGCAACTTCTTTTATGCTGTCTCTGCTGCTTTTGACTAATGCTTGAGTTACTCAATTCTCCAGTCTCTGAATTGCAGTTGATTGGTAAAAGGAAAGATATTCAAGAAAAATTCAGAGTTCCAAAGAAGGACCCTGGAAAATCTCCAGGCTCATAAAAGGGTGCTCCCCTTAAATTCAATACTAACTCTGTTTTTGCCTGGGACAGTAATATTCTAATCTCGGCATCTTGTAGGCTATCTCTTTTCTTGTCAGAAAATTGGGATCTAGTCCCTGATAATGACGACACAAGTAATGCCAGCACATAAATGAAAGGAAAATATTCAGTTAGATTCTCTTCCTAATGGCTTCCTCACTCTGGAAGCTTCCATCAACATACTGCCAGGGAGTGGTAGCCAGTTCTAGTTGAATTTCTAGACAGTGTGAAGACTTAAGAAATGACACCACTTCTCAAAATGTACTGTACAATGTGGAGTAACTCTTTGAGAAGGCATGAGGGGATCTAGCATAACATATTACAATTGATAACTAAAAATAAGATAGATAATACACTGCAAATAACAAAGGACAATCTTACAACTATGCTCTTCTTCTGCCTTCTGGCCACCTTCGTGGTAGGCAGCCTCCTCCTCAGCTTCGAGACTAGGTCATTGATGATCGTTTTATTGTTTCCTGTGTTTGCTGGCTTGAGTTTGGCCTTCTGAAAACAGGCAAAAGCTGAGCGTTCACAATGATCCTGAAAGAGAGATAATTAGCATATGTTAATAGCCTGATAGATAATTCGTATATATTAATGTCCTGAATGAGATAATTAGCATGTGTTAATACCCTAAAAGAGAGATGATTATCGTATGTTAATGAATGTCATTCCAAAGTTTAAAAATGACTTTCCAGATCTCAGTTTCTATTTGTACTATCTTAGACATTTGTTTTCGTGCCTGCCTTAGGTCTGGTCATATCTCCACTTAAACTCTGCAGAAGACAGAAGTTCCACTCAGACAGCTTCCATGTCTGGGAGAAGGAGCCCCTTCCTGATGCACAGAGATGAGCAGGGGTCTCACCCTTCACAACTTCCTATGTCCAGTGCTATGCTTATGCCACTCTGAGGTTAAAGTGGTGGGCATGAGCTTTGTGGGGCTGGATGTGTGTGTGTGTGTGTGTGTGTGTGTGTGTATGCATGTTTGTGTATGTGAGGGGGCAGTGAGAACTCAGGATTACATATAATCTAGGCAAGCAGTCTACCACTGAGCTAACAACCAGATTTTCTAGCTATGACAGAGAATTTAGCTTAAGAGCACAACTGTTGAATTCTGAGGCTGTAAATTGTGACCAGTGGCAACTTTGGGAAAGTGATCCAACAGTCTGGCTAAGAAGCTGTTTCACTTATTGTCACTTCTGCCCAGTGTGCACACAGGAGTCTTCATGGTTCTAGTCTGTGCAGTCCCTGCTAAAGGCCTGGTCATCTGCAAGTGCTCAGTTACTATTTGTGGAGTCCATCAATGAGGTCAATGAGTGAAGACCACTACAGTTGCTCATTCTGAGAGTCATTGCACCTGCTCAGGCCATCGTACACTTTGTGAAGCCCCAGCCACATCATGTCTGGGTAGAGCAGGGCTCCCCATGAATCAAGAGTCAAAACACAGAAGGTAAGACTTGCTTAGCCAGTGGAAGAAGAGCTTTTTTAGCAGAGCCCTGTGAGAGACTGGAGAAGTAGAAAGAACAAGGAGCAAAGCCTCTATGGTTTGGCCGAATGACTGCTGGCCGGTGAAGAAGTCCAAATCTTAGCAATGGAACACACTGGAAGGGCGCACCAGGCAAGTGCTTCACCACTGAGTTACAGCCTCAGCTCTGAAAAAGCAATATCTGAAACTGGCTTAACTGATCCATGAGCTCCTATCAGAATTCCTTTCACCCATATTGCTATTTCCTTTAGCAAATGTCTGTTATTCTCCCCTGAAGTTGCCACAGCTTCATTTCACCGCTAGCTTCCAACCAAAGGCCTCCCTCCTTCCCAGGACGGCATTGCGTTGCCTGAAGCTTCTCGGGGACAATCAGCTGAAAAAGCAGCCTGCTTTGCATTTTCCAACCCATACACTTGCCCGATGTTAATGTTGACTAATAACACAAGCCCATCGACCGTGCTTTGCATAGGTAGCCGCAAGCCCAGCAGGCCTTATCTAGTTCCTTCTATCAGGGTAGCTTGCCTGTCACCAGGGCAAGGTGCCGGCCTTCCCATGTTTGCCAAAATGCTTATTTAATAGAAACTATTTATAAACGTTAATTATAGCACTTTTTTTTCCTTGAAAACCACATGTTCATGTTTGTTGAAGTTTTTTCTTTTCTCTTCTCTTTGACCACAACCGGCTTAACTTACTGGAAAAAAATAATATTCATATTTAAAGAGGTAAATTTTCCAGCTGAAACTGAAAACGCTAACTGTTTCATCCGTGATGATCTGAGAAACCAGCATTTCTCACAGAGCTTCATTTTGCTGAGTTGACATTTTCATTTGTACACTGAAAGAAAATTAGGTTCCAAAGAAGCTTGGGGAGGGGTCCCAAGAACAAACTCCCTAAGAATATCCTGCCAGGAATGCTCAGGACCAGCCATCAAAACTTCACATCCAGACTAGAAGACAGATATGACATCAGGATGTGGACATGTGACTGTCCCCACCCTTCCCTGTCCACCACTGATGGACACTATCCTTGGTTTGGTTTTGTCCTGCAGGAAGCAGCCTGTCTCTGGAAATGTGTGATGAGGGACAGGTATCTTCAAGTTAGGGTTTCAGTGCACAGCAAAGGCAGAAAAGCAGGGAAGCAGCAGGCCCTGCAACTCCTGAGGAATGGAGTTGAGTGGGGATGTGGAGGGAATGAAGAGCCTCAGGGCTCCTAGGATGGAGTCAGAGGACAGCCATGCCAAGTGCCCATGGCTGCTTTGCTCAGCTGGGCCTCACTGGGGAATGTGAGGAATTTTCTAGAAGTACATGGCTTCTGCATGGAAGGTACAGTAAAGAAGCCAAAGAAAGGAGTTACAAAGCCAGCCCCCTCTTTAGCCAGAAAAGAGATTTTCATAAAAGGCACACCTGGCTCGCTAGCCCTGCAACTGGATATCTGAAAAAAACCAAACAAGTTTAATTTCTTAAAGCCTGTTTCTGACCTGGTGATATTTTTATCTTTTGGAAGGAAAGCCATGGCCTGTCAGCATAGACTATCTCAGCAGCTGTGTCAGGTGGCTAACCTTTGTCCAGCTCTACTCACAGATGGGGCTTTCCTAATGGCACCATCACTGATGTATTGGACTGGGGAACTTTGCTGTCAGACCCATTCTATACATTCTAAAACATTCACTGGTATTCCGGGCCTCCAATGACCAGATGCCGGCAGCATTCTTACCCCGGTTCCCAACTGTGCCAACCAAAGTTTCCTCACATACTGTCAAGTGCCTAGGGAGGGGCAGCAAACCCCTGGATAGATGAGAAAAGGAAAAGCAAATGAGGGGTGCCCATTACAGATCTCAGTAGTTCTGTAGAATTTGTTACAGACCCTGATTTGGATGCTAGCTCTGAAAACTTGATATGCAGTTTCTGTGGCCCTTGCTGCCTTTCCTCTGTCTTAAGTTTGCCTGCCAGCATAGTTTGGAGATGTTAGTTAGAGCTGTACTCATTGCTTTGTAGATAGTGCTGCCTGATCAGATCATCAGAAAAATGCAAGCTCACTGAGACATATTATCATGGAGATGTGAGATTTTTAAAAATCCTTCAGAAGATGATGAACCACTAGAGACTGGACAGAGAACGGTTGGGCAAGATGCACACATACAATCACAGACATGCAATCAACTTGTATAAGTAGTGTGTGGCTACCAGAAATCCAGGCTTAAAAAGACATCTTTCACGGAAAAGTATGTATAAGAAGTGGCCACTAGGTCAACCCCGCTGAAAATGAGGGATTTTCCTATTTTTTACTTTGCAAAGTGTAGATTGCAGGTATGAAATCCTGGAAAGAACTCTACCCACAGCAGTCAACACAGTGCACGAGATGCTGAGAAGCAGACACATTAAGAAATATTTTTGATTATTGGAAATGTCTTTTCAATGTGCTACTTTCATTTTAGCGGCTGCTTATTAGTAAGGACCTAGTAAACACAAGAGTGATCATGTTCAAGGCTAGAGCAAGAGTGAACTGAAGAGCAGAGCTGAAGCTGTGACTCATTCACTCTCTAAACTTTTACACTGTCATTTACCATAATTCTTTTCTTTGATTGTGTCTGTGTGGTGCCCTAATTACTGGCAACACTTTCCTGGTTTTCCTAAGTCATGTCGTTAAAGGTCTAGCAGAGCGAGCATTTCCCCAGTTTCATTCACAATGTTAAGGTATCAAGCAGAAGACCAGATCAAAGAAGTTCTTGGAGGGAAATTGACAGAACCTCTCTGCACTGCATGCCAAGCCTCTTCTCCACGGGACTGGAATATGAATGGTGCAAGAGTTGGAATGAGCTGTTGAAAATGGCCCCTTGGAAAGACCTCGCCAAAAGCTAAAGACAAGAAGACTCACAGAGGCCAAGGTACATGGGAATTACACTCAGAGACTTTTGATTTCCACATTCTGTCTCTGTACTTTCCTTGCAACCTAATTCTTTCTTTCTTTTTAAAGATTTGTTATTAAAATGCAAATGTTACCTCTTATCTTAAATAAGGTGACAAAGAAAGTTGCAGAGCTGTCAGGCCTGAGGCTCTGAAAACATGCTTATCTGTTTCTTGTTCAGAAACTGATCCCAGCACAGATTTTTATCCTTGTTGGTTTGTCTTAGTAACACTACCTAGGAGTATTCTTAGAGGCTTAGTAAACATGTATTCTATAAGAATACAATATGATATGTCATTGTTTGGTTTGCTTGTAAATCTTTGGATACATAGCCAAAATGGAAATGAATATTTTACAAATCATTAATCCCCAAAGTCATTGAAAAGAAGCATACACCTAAATCATCATTCTAGAGCTTTGTTAGACTTTAAAGTTTACACAAAATACATTTCCAAAGTCAATTCAACTGATCTTACCTTTACATCTTGTGGAGCTGGCAGAAGTTCAGAGTCCTAGCCAAAAGAGAATTAGTTCTGAGTTAGTGATAGAAGTCAAAAGGCTCCTTTCACATCAGTTGAAAAATATTATTTAAATTTCAGTGACAAACATGCCCTTACCAAGTCATTCACATAAATTTTCAGCTGTTCAACACTGTCTATAAGGTGGCGAAGTCTAATCAGGAGGCGATCTGGCCCTTGGGGACTTGTTTTATGGGCCACTGTCCCCAAGAAGATGACTATCAGACAGATAAGGGTCCTCTCCATGCCACCAGAACTGGGTCTCCAAATACAGATGATCAGGACCTGGGTCTGGTTTTCACTTCAGCCTGACTGTGGACAGGTTGTCTCTACAGCTACCTATTTATTCATCTTTCAAGGAGAGGCAAAGCCCTCCCATTGCAGCCTGGAAATCTTCGTACAGTGGATGAGTGTGAGTAAGTCGTTTTTCTTTTCCATTGGCTAGGTATACGTGTGCGTGTGGGGGCAGGGATGGACAGAGTCCACAAAATGTGCCCCATCTGCATCTTAGACAGGAAAAAGAGAGACATGGTGAATTCCAGTTTTCAGCACTCACCAAGAAGTGTGTATGTGTGGCACACAGGAGGCACCACTAGATTTCAGAGAAGTAAACACAAACACTTTGATCCCTAGCACCTTACCTGGCTTGTCTGACAGTCATAAAGACACTTGCACAATGAGTAAAGAACCATGCCCTTTATTGCAGGAACTTTTCATAGGGTAATGACTATACCTCTTGACTGAACCATCCTGTATTCCACTGCAAAAATGGACAAGGTTAACTTTTAGGGAAAATTAAGTGATCAGGTAGTTTCCTAACTACCAAAAGTATTTTAGATCCTATCAGGTTTCAGGGTGTTAAAACAGGATTTGCCTCCAGTTTTCACCAATGCCTCTTTAAGTAGCACTGATGGTGCTTCCTGACAGTGTAATAATCTGATTAAAAATATAATAAACTGCTTTTGATGAACTCTGTATACAGTGTACTCTCCATCAAGACATTACTCTATCTTCATTAAAATAAGAACCCACAAGTTTTGTAGTGTTTATTGCTTGTATTCAATGCATCGATTAAACAAGTGAGAAGGGCAAATGCTCCCTTCTTTCCAAGTCAAAAAAATACCTCCAAACACCAACAGCAAAAGTATTTCTGCTAGACATTTGTCTCCCCTGGGTCTAAGCAATGTGCTTCTAACTGCATTTGTGACCAGGTAGAGGTTGATGAAAGGCTCAGAGGCCAGAAGTGATTCTTAGCACTTGCCTCTTCTGCAATTCTTGTCCTATGACTCTTCATCCATTGGAAGAAGTTGAGTATAATACTCTAGCTCAACAGATGTCTAAGCCACAGTCAGATATGGCTTCCAAATAACCCTCTTGACCAGAGGTTTTGGCTTACCTGTATGTTCATGTATTTTGTCGCACACTTACGAATCATCCTGTATTCCAGAATGTTATGCTGCCAACATAGGGTACCTGATTTACTCTAAAGGTTAGGCTGTGGAGGTTTTATCATAGAATACCTACTCAAGCTATGATCTTATGCAAGAGATGAACATTCTTACAGTATGATGAAGAGGTGCTTCCTATAATCATTAAATCCCACAAAAGAAGTTGCTGTGTAAGTTTATTAACCAATAAGGACTAAGGCTCTCCACATGGTGCATCCCATTGCTTTCCCCATATGGTCTTTTCTACATGTTTTCCTGAGGCACCTACATGGATGTCCATTCCTGAATACACTATCCATGGTGATTAAGAGTTCATTTTTAAGAGCAGAGTTCCTGAGTTCAAATCTAGACTCAATGAATTGCCATATGACCGGACATGTTCATGTGAAGGGAAGCTAGGATCCTTAAAGGTTTACAAGGCAAAGGCAAGAGCTAAGTATAACACATGATAAAAATCCCGGGACTTTGATCCTGGATAAGTGTGGAAAGGACGTAGAGACGCTCAGAAAGAAGGGCTAGATCAATGCTAAGTCGCACGGATGGCATGGCTTTAGTGGTGGTAAAAGCATCTGCAGTCATGCTGCCCATAGGAAAGCACTGTTGTTGGTCTTGATGCAAACCCTCTGTCACACCCCTCCTTGACCTTGCTACAAGCTTCCCTGTCCTACATCCCAACCTCAGACCTTCCCGTGAGAATCCCTAGAGAAAGTTCTGCAGCACTGAACATGATGGCATCATGGGACTCATGGGAAGGAAGGTAAAGGGTCAAGATCAAAGTCGATGTGATGGCAAAAAACGGAGGCTGATGCAGCACACAGGCCAGAGTCATGGGAGAAGTGTCCTCAGAGGCTAGGAAAACCAAGGTGTAGACCAACTCTAGAGTAGTGATTCTCAACCTATGAATAGCAAGGGGTTGTCCAAAACCATCAGAAAACACAAAATATTTACATTTACAATCCATAATAGTAGCAAAATCAGTTATGAAGTAGCAACAAAAATAATTTTATGGTTGGGGGTCACCACAACATGAGGAACTGTGTTAAACGGTTGCAGCATTAGGAAGGTTGAGAAGCACTGGAATAGAGCACTCAGAAGGCATGCGCCCCATTACGCGGTGACTTTGTTCCATCAGCTCATTCGCACTCCTGACCTTTTGAACTACAGGATACTTAACTTTGGTTTGGTTTTTGTTGTTGTTTTGTTTTTGTTTGACTAGCAATATCGTATTATTTTATTTGCCCCTTTTATTGGAAATAAATGTAATACATCCTGATTATGCTTTCCCTTCCCTTTACTCCTCCCAGTTCCTCCCCACCTCCCCTTCCATTCTGTCTCTTATAAAACAAACAGGCAGCCGGACATTGGTGACTCCTACCTTTAATCCCAGCACTTGGGAAGCAAAAGCAGGCAGATCTCTGTGAGTTCAAGGCCAGCTTGGTGTACACAGTGAGTTCCAGGACAGGCTCCAAAGAAATACAGAGAAACCCTGTCTTGAAAAACCAAAAGAAACAGACATCTAAGGGATAATGAGAAAATAAAGTATAATAAGATAAAACAAAGCTAACACATTGGACTAGGACAAAACAAGTAAACAGAAGGAAATGAGCCCACAAAAAAAGGTACAAGAAACAAACAGACAAAGCCCCACTTGTTTGCACACTCAGGAATCCCATAAAAACACTAAACTAGAAATCATAATATATACACAAAGGACCTCTAGGGTAAAAAGAGAAGGAAAAATAATAATATAATATGATATAAATAAAATAAAAGATAAAATTAAAAATAAAAAAGCCTGGGACACAACATTATGGGACAAGGAACCTCCAAAGATGCCACTGGGTTCATTTTCTGTTGGCCATCTACTGCTGGGCATGCAGTCAACCCTTCAGAGTAATTTATTTCCCCAGTGAGACTCCCTTGAAGAAGGCTAAGTTTTCATTTGCAAGTGGTTATCAGTTTAACATAGCTTCTAGGTTAGGGATGGGGGCATGTGTCCATTTCTCCTTTCAGCCCTAGAACCTCCATGTGGTACAGACCCATGCAATCCCTGTGCATGCTGCCTCAGCCTCTGAATTCATATGTGTATACCCTGTTAATTTAGGGGGCCCTGTTGCCTCCTGTCCTCCATCCCCTCTAGCTTTTACATTCTTCCTAACTCCTCTTCTGAGAGGTTCCCTGAGCCCTCAGGAAAGGATCTGATGGAGACATCCCATTTAAAGCTTTGTTTTAAGGTCTCTTATTCTCTGCTACTGTCTGACTGTAAATGTCTACATTTGTTCTGCTGCAGGAATAAGCCTCTCTGATGATGACTGAACAGGCACTGATCTATGAGTATAGCAGAATGTCATTGGGAGTCATCTTATTGTTAGGTGTTTTTGGTTGTTTGTTTTCAGAATAGTAGCATTTGGTTTTACTCCAGGTACCTGGGCTATCTAGGTCCTTGATCACCCAAGCAGTATCAGGAATGGGTTTCATCTCCTAGAGAGGGCCTTATGTCAAATCAGACATTGGTTGGCTATTCCCATTAGATTGGTGCCACTATTGCACTAGCATATCTTGTAGGAAAGACACCATTGCATAGCAAAGTGTTCATGTTGGGTTGGTGTTTGTTTCTCCTTTAGTAGTATGCAGGTACCTTCCTGTACCGCAGGCACTAACACATAGGGGTGAAGCTTCTATACAGGTGCCAGATCAACTTCTCCATGTTCAATGAGTTATGTAAGTGTTGTCTTCCACAATGGAGCCTTGCTTTCAGTTTGTGAAGAGCAAACTATAGTCTTAGCAACAGCCTGGATTGTTTGGGGCTTCTCATGGGACCCTTTTAGCCAACAACTCAAATAGATGAAATCCAGTCCCCATACTAGAAGTTTCATTTAGTGACAAGAGATATCTAGCTGGGGCTCTATCTATCTCATTATTTGGCCATTTCATTTATATTTCCTTCATCTATGTATATATTTTAGGAAGCATCTACTTTATTGGGTTTCCATACTACCCCTCAAATAGCCCTTAATTTCAGCTGTCTCTCCCCATATTCCCTCCCCCACTCCCCTTTTTCCTGTCCCTCCCCATTTGATCTTCCCGTTCTAGGCACCTTGCATCCATTCATAGGCATCTATTCTATTTTTCTTTCCTAAGGAAAGTCATATGACTTCCACTAGTCCCTTACTCTCTACCTAATGTCTGTTCTTCTACGGATTGTAACTTAGTTATCATTGACTTAACGGATAAATCCATACATAAGTGAATACATCCGTATTTGTCTTTCTGGGTCTGGGTTACCTCATTCAGGATCATTTCTTTTCTAGTTCCATTTGTTTACTTGTAAATTTTATGATTTTGTTCCTTTTACTATTCCACTGTATGAACATACCACATTTTCTTTTTTGATTAATCTGCTAAGGGACATCTAGGTCATTTCCAGTTTCTGGCTATTATGAATAGAGAGCAATGGTCGAACAAATATCTCTATGGTAGAATGAAGCATCCTTTGGGTATATGGTGAAAAGTGATAGAGCCAGATCTTGAGGTAGAACAATTCCCATCTTCCTGAGGAACTGCCACACTGATTTCCATAGTGGCTGTATAAATTTGCACACTTACCAGCAACAGGTGAGTAATCTTCTTACTCTATATCTTCACGAGCATGAGCTGTCACTTGTTTTATTGATCTTTGCCATTCTGATGAGTGTAAGGTGAAATCTCAAGGCAGTTTGATTTGCATTTCCCTGATGAGAAAGGGTGCTGAACATTTCTTGAAGTATTTCTTGGCCATTTGAGTTTCCTCTTTTGAGA